TTTTTTATGATTGCCTAGAGTCATGTCTTTCTAGTTGATGTAATAGAAATGTATTTTTTCCTATTTGAGATAATCTCAGATAATTAATAGTCTATCTCAATGTGTTTTATGAGAGTATGGAACATTGAATTGTGTGCTAAGGTGATTGTGCGTGTTTTTGTTGTGTATCAATGTTGATGGGAGTTATTATTGTGTGAGTTCTTCTAGCAATCATTGAAACAATAGTATGTTTGTAGTGTTAGATGCAAGTGCCTTGTATTCCTTTCAGGTGGATGATCTAGCCACTGTGGGTTACATAATTCCTTACTGACCATGAGATCAGATTTAGTCCCAAATATATGCAAAAACCTGAGGTGGATTTCCTATCATTCATTTCACTTGTCTAGTCTACATTTGTAAATGCCTATGGTTGAAGTTTTCCCTTCATAGCGGGTAGCCTGTGGTGGATGGTGCCTTTGGGATACCTGAGTAGTCACTTGAGGTATTGAACATGAGTGTTGAGGATCTTGTGCAAGTGCTAACTTAGTAGATTCACTATGAAGGTTATGTCGGGTCTAGTGATTGTTAGGTATTGGAGTGAGCCTAGAGTTTGTTTGTAGTGATGAAGAATTAGTGTGGGAGTGCTGGTGGAATTGAGTTGTGATATTGGGAGTGCTAGTGGTCATGACTGTTTTTTCTTAAAGCACTCCAATTTTGTTAAGAAGGTTTCTGAGATGGTATCCTTGATGGAAGAAATATCTAGCCGGTGTGTGGTGTAATTGTGACTAAGAAGTGAGAAATTGGTCATGGTTATTTGAGGTTGAATTGAGTGTTGAGCTTTTGTATGAGTGAGTTGACTGTTGTGGCGAATTTTCCTGTGACAAGAATTTTATTTACAAAGATAAAGAGGTAGATTCTCATGTATTCAGTGTGATATATCAAGAGTGAGGGATTGATTGTGCTTAATTTGAAGTGTTGGTCATATAAGAGCATAGAATGTGGAGTACTACTATCATGATGCTTTTTTAAGATTATAAATGTTTGTGTTTAATTTGCATACATGATGAGGATATGTTGAGTCTATAAATCATTGTGGTTGAGTTATGTAAACAATATCTTCCATGTTAAGTACTTTAGAATGGGGATGTCCAAACATGTGATGCCATGTAGTTAGGGCTTCAGTTGTCTCGAGTGGTATGATTGATTACTATCCTCTTTTAGTTGGGCCACTGAAGTGGGTTTTTTAGGCGTGGAAATCCTATATGTGAAATCCATTAGCGTTGATTTATTATCTTAAGTGAGTTAGTGTATTGACATTAGATTGTTTGGGAGGTATGGGGTTTAAAAAATTGGTTATAATGTGAGCTTACCATTGGCATCATTTTTTATGTCATTTGTGTGGGATGTCCACTTGAGCGGAACGGTTTTGTGCCTCACGCATATACTCTCCTTATAGCTCCAGATAAGTGTCAGAGCCCTCTAGAGCACTCCTTAAAGCTCAAGAGATGAATATCCACATGTACGATGTGCCCCGTAGCTCATGGTTGCCAAGACTAGTCAAACCCTTGAAAGAAAAATTTTGGCCCAGAGCTCCCAATCCAGGATGTGGGCGAGCCCGAATCTGCATGCAATTTGGATAACTGCCACCATGTTTTGGGCACCCCTGCACCTTTGGTATGTTAGTTTACCTGTGTCAGATTAGTGTTGGACTTGCGCTGATAAACAGAGAGTTGGGAAAACCCACAACAACTTTAGGGCGTGCCCGTGCCCGATCTTATGGACTCCAGTGCGCTCACACTACGATTATGGAGTGCTTGTTTTAACAATGGTGCATTCATGCCATCTCAGCATGCCCACATTCATGTTCCTAAGGCAGACCCGTGTTGTACTATCGCTGAGCTCAAGCTGAAAGATGGTGTGATAAGTGCCCCCGCGATGCGATGCTGGCGCAGCTAATCCACTACCTCAACGCACCCGCACCATATCAAAATATGCTCTGGTTTTGTTGCACATGAATTTCCAAAAGAGGGACCTTTGTTCACTTAAATGTTGCTACTAGGCCTCTAACCAGGGGCCTAAAAGCTTGTTACCTATTTATTATGCCTAAAATAATTTTAAACAAGGGACTAATGTTCCCGTGGGAGCCCCCATGCCCAAAAATGGCAAAGGGAGAATCTTAATCCTAACCCCTTGGGAAAAGTTGAGAAGGGATGGTTCATTTGGATATTTTTCAGCCAAGAAGAAGCTTCAAAGTGGGGAGAGCTGAGCTAGGCGCTTATTCTTCCATTCTTCTTCTTCCTCCTCTAGATTCCTTCCTCTTCTTCTCTTCTTCTTCTTCTTCTTCTTCCTCCATTACTTTGGTAAGAAGAGTGTTAGGGAACAGTTGGAGAGGCTTCTTGAAGGAGCTTTTGAAGTTTCAATTAAGGGAGGAGAGCTTGATCTTGTTTGGAGGAGAAGGATTCATCTCCTTCGAGAAAGGAGAGCTTCATCTTGTTAGGAGAAGAGTTCACTTGGAGTTTCCTCAAATTCTCCTTCAATAGGTGAGCTTCTTCCATCTTAGAGAAGCGAGGGAGCTAGCATCACCAGATCAAGGTTAGAGCTTAAAGCAAGCTAAGAGCATGCTTCCTTAATCGCCACATAGGTGAATTCTCTAAATCCCTTACAAATTTCATTCTTAGAGCCCACTAGGTCTGGATGTTAGAGGATTAAGAACTAGGGTTGTGTGCTTAGAGAGAGATGATAAGTTTAGTAGCCTTCTCATAAACTTTTTCCCTCTAAACTGTAGTTTCAAAATCTCACAAGTCGGTGTTATATTAATCTCATTGTTTGTTTCAGCTGCTTCATTTGGATGGACACTTGAAGTCGATCAGTCAAGCAAACGAAGAATTTCCTTTGATCATCATTCTCTCGGCCATAGGAAGTCCTCTTCACTCTATTTCAAGTCTGGAAAATGGAGGTGAACATCATGTTGCCTCAAGCAATATAGTGTTGATACACCTCTCCATTAGTTCTACCTTAGAACTTATAAGAAGTCGATAGAACTAGTTTGGCGTGATGTTGAATGCATTGGCTTGTGTGGCTTGCATGCTCATTTATCATGTTT